ATTTTTAATGGTGCAATAGTGGTGAAAAATTTACGAATCAAATATATCATAAATCCTTCATACTAAATCAAATAATACAGACATGGGATGAAATTAAGAAATATTTAGGTCTAAGACATAAAAATCCTAAAGACCTGTAGTTTAACAGCATTAGAAGATAATATGATAGACTTATCTTTAAAAAATTGGCCAAATGCTAATTAAATTATTATTGCGGAAATCATTCAGCAAGACCAAATAGAGCCATTCCATAATATTATGTTAAAGTACCAAATAACAAACAAAGAAATATTTACATTTTTGAGAATCAAACATTTTTAATCTAATTCCTTATTAAAAACTACAACAACACTACATAAATATCTGGAACAATTGTTCACACAAAAAATAATCTCAAAAGCAAATAAGTTGATCAATTCGATAAATGACAAACCATTAAAAATAATTAATACCTGGAATAAGGAGTTAGGATTGAAGTTGGTAGAAATTGATTGGTGCTCTTCTCTACAACAGGTATATATAAATATACATTGCCTTAACTTAATAGAATGCCAATATAAAATTATGTACAAATGGTATTTGGTACCATCTAGATTATCCAAAATGTATTATAACTATACTCCAAATTGCTGAAGATGTGGAAATCCGGTGAGTACCTTTATATATATTTGGTGGACATGTCCGTTAATTAAATCAATTTGGAATTAGGCATTTGACAGTTTTAGGGTATTATCGAATGAAAATGTGAATTGGTGCCCAGAGGCTGCACTACTAAACTTAAAACTTGACACACTTTCAAAAGAAAATAGGTGATTGGCTATTCACAAAAAAAGAAAATTATGATTGCCAGGAATTGGAAATCTAATACTAAGTTCCAAAAACAGCAGTACTTATATCAGCTGAAATTTCAATTTCGTATGGAAAAAGAAATGGCTAATTTAAATCCTTTAGCAATATAAAAAAAAAAAACAAGATCTGTTTGATTTATGGTTAAACATGTTTTTAAAACTAAGATAAATAAAAATGTATTTGCCGTGCGAAAAGTATAAAAGATAATTATGATAGGTTGATATAAAAAATAACTCCTGATCTGCATTTTTAAAACTTGTATTTGTAATATGTCAAAGCGAGTTTAAATTTTTGTTGTATATTTTGTGGATGTTTTATTATCTTCTAAATACATTGAATTTAATTAAGATATCTAAACATATTTTTTGAATGTTGTGATAAACAAGCCTATAATCTTTTGTGGTGTTTTTTTATAATTTTTGATAAAAAACAAACAAATAAAGAATAAATATATCTATTTAAAAAAAAAAAAAGAAATTCCAATGCAACCCAAGCCTTTCATAATACAAAGTATAGTCTTCTCTCCTCTCTATTAACAAATGTAATGCCTTACCCACTATCCAGTGTCACCTCTACAATTATCCCTCGAGCTCTCTCAACTTGTATTCTATGTTCTACCTATCTCTATTCATTTGGTTCCCTCCTCTCCAACTGCTCTCATATTGTCCACTCTCATTTCTATTGCTCTTGTCTACATTTTTTCTTACTTCACCAGTCAGAGGTTATAGTAATGATTTTTAGGCAGCCAAGTTAGAAGCAGTCAGTTCCAGGAGAGATGTAAACAAAATGGTGTGTATTTTACATTTAATTTCATTTTTTCAATCCTCGTAACACATGCAATACCAGTTGCTTACATCAGTTATGCTCAGAAATCAATTAAAAGATCAATCATTTTAACTAACATGTATAGCAGGCTTATAGATATAATAGTCCTCAGGAGTATTAACAATTTGGCAGTCCTGCCACAATATTAATGACTCATTTTGACTTAGTTCAACAGGAAAAATAGCATTAACCGACAGGATGGAAATCTGTAGAAGCAGACAAAGGAACAATTTTGAAGCAAATTCCCCCCCAATTCCCCTTTTCAGTGTATATTTGGAATCCAGACCAGATTTCCTTTGGGTTGAGCACCTCATCCATCCACTATAGGTGCCCCTTTAGAGGTGACCACAGGAAAGCATAAATTTGAGGAGAGTCTCTGGAAACCGTTAAACCCCTTAAGGACCAAACTTCTGGAATAAAATGGAATCATGACATGTCACACATGTCATGTGTCCTTAAGGGGTTAAGGGGTTAAGCAGTAAGTATTGCAGTTAGTGTAGGACCCACAGATTAGTGTTGTATCCACAGATATTGGGGTACTGTGAAGCAGTGGTGAGCTTAACACAATATGGCCATATGGTGTAGCTGAATCCCCATATTTGTTTGTTAAGATAGGTGATTTTATGTAGCCTTCTAAAATTTAAAACTGTCATTTTTTGTTCCTTAATTAGTATCTAATATATATTTTAAACACTATTGCAGCACCACTACTGAGAAATGCATGTTCTTCATGTGCCCCCCAATTCTTTTTTTTTTTAAGGTAAGTACAGTAAGTTTTTTTTTACAGTAAGTTCCAAGCAGCTTAAAATGCAAGTATGAGTACTTCTAATTTATCTATGATGTAATAAGTGAACAGGGAATTCTTAGAATTTGCATGTAAGAACAACATTTATTGGTTCTGTCCCATCGTTTCTTTAATTAAAGTGGACTTGGGTTTGCTGGCTTGATGACTGGCTGTGGAGTAAAAAATGTGTGATGCCTTCCAGGATCCTATTGGTTAGTGTGCTATTTGCTTTTTGGACTTGTAGGGGAAATGAATAGGCCATATTTATGTTATCTGTAAGGCCAATGTTATTGGTTGGAGGACCATTCTAAAAGATCGTGAAACATGGTCACCTTTTAACCCCAAAAGTCACTGAAAATCTTGTATCAAGGTTTTTATTAAGGTTTTCTTGATGGTCCTGCAAAAAAGCATTATATATCTGGTAATGAACTTGGTAGAACCCAATGAGCTCTCTCAAATGTTATTGGGTCTATCTGTCTCTGCCCATTAAGCAGTAGCTGTTATACTCACTTGCCTGGTTGATCATTCTATCCAGCCATAATTTAATTTCAGAGATTGCATGCGTTTGTAAGTAAATTAATTTGCCTTTTCTGTTTAAAAAGTGAGTTGATGTGTTTTTTTTTAAGTTGACGATCCTTGCATCTTATCAGACAATTAGTCCATCCCAGGGCAATTTTATATTTGATAACTTTTGTTAGGTGCCTTGTAAGATTCAGTATGTCCACTTTGGACTTGGCATAGTATGTGTCCTATTGTTATCTCTGCTTCTGGTAGGAAAGAAGTCGAAGAGGCCAGATCCTCAACTTTAGTGGTGACTGCTTCTAGGCTGCAATTCATATTAGTCTTTTTTTTCTGGAAGTCAGGAACAGTGATGTGAGCAGCTATATTATGACAGAATATGTTTGAGGGGGCCATGCCAATTTCTGATGATGACAAATTCTAAGTATAATGGTTTAGATATCTTTCTGATTGCAGCTGCAGTAGTCAGAGCTCTAGCTTTAGTCCTTGATCATCCTTCTCATTTAATCATCAGTTTTAGTGAATATTTATAACATGGGGTTCTTTGCTTTTTGTAAATCATGGATGTTGTGGGTCTTCTTCTTTTAGAGTCTTTATTTTTCTATACACGTTAGATTATACTATTTGCATATGTCCTCTGTCTTTCACCTAAAAAGCTGTATTACTTCAGACATGGCTGCTGGACTTAAGCTGTACTATGTAACTGATTAAACCCACTAATAATTTGGGTCAGTGAATATGTCTGGCATTTCCTGGTAGGCAAGCAACATTTTTTTCCTTGTGGTATAATGGCAGAGAAATATCCTCCTGGTGCCTCTTAGGGCAAAAGGATAAGTTAGTGACAGGTGCTGAACTGTCTGGATTACTTTTTTTATAATAAAAACCCTCTGTGCAATACAAATTTACTTGTGGTTGTTCAGAATTCCCCATTAAGAACAGAGGTCATCATTTGAAGTAAAAAAAAAACAACAACTCCCTCCCCCCCCCCCAAAAAAAAGCCAGAATCATAAATCCATAGATTGCATATTTCCAGAGGTGTCCTGATCCAGTCTCAATGTGAACGCAAGCTGCTTTAGAATATAAGCAAATATCTAGCAAAGTATGATTGAGGTTGTTGCTTAAACCAGCTCTATGGCATCCCCTCTAAAAGTATAAGATATAAAAATAACTTGACCTCTAGCTCATTATAGCTTTTTACCCCTATTTTGAGCCACCCAGATGTTGGTGAACTACAACTACAATAATTTACAGGCCATTCAGCTAATTCTGGGAGTTCTAGGCTAGGTCAGGTGAGAAACAGATCATTGTCACTGAAAATACATATTTACCTGTTTCTTTGTACTAGATTCCCATATATGAGTAAAATACTCATTGAAATAGGAACTCGAGCCATGCAGCAGTCATTAATTTATTTCACTGTTTGTAGCAGACAGGTATCCTGTATTATTTTTTTTATGTATTAGTCCACATTGTTAACCCCTTACACTAGTAGAATGGGTTAAAAGAAATTTAGACTAAAAAATATGTTCTCCTGTTGGAAATGTGAACAAATGAATATCAGACTTTATCTTCTCATATTTAGTGTAAAACTGTTTCTATTTGCAGATAGCTTAACAGCCTTGTGTTCTGTGCACTGCTATAATCCCTTTATAGAGAGGGGAGGGGTAAGCAGAATCTAGCTGACCAGAAAATGAGTTCGTCTACATCAATTGTTTTGCAGCTGACGCACAGAATACATAATTAGGTAACAAACAACTTGTTTTCTTGTTCCTCATTAAGTCTTTAAAAAAAAAAAAAAAAAAAGAATTATTGAATGAAGATAAGATTTCTGTTGATTTTTACAGAATATATAGATTTAGTACTGGTGTAGTGGCAGCTGTGTATTTACCGCGAGGCTGACAAGGCATTTCAGGAGGGTGGCAAAAAAAGCTGCCCCCCCCAAATGCCTCAGCAGATGCCATGTCAACCTCTTGTCCTGGGGGGCCCAGGAGCTGGCCAGCTGGCCAGCTGGCCACCGACTTGAGTGGGCAAGTTCTCACATTCAATGGCGTCTGTCCCCTCGGAGAGGTGTTCTCTTCATGGATGAATCCTGGTTTTCATTGTACAGGGCAGATGGCAGACAGCGTGTATGGCGTCATGTGGGTGAGTGGTTTGCTGATGTCAACATTTTGGATCGAGTGGCCCATGGAAGGATTATGGTATGGGCAGTGTATGTTATGGACAACGAACACAGAGGCATTTTATTGATGGCATTTTGAATGCACAGAGATACCGTGATGAGATCCGGAGGCCCGTTGTTGTGCCATTCATCCATGACCATCACCTCATGTTGCAGCATGATAATGCACAGCTCCATGTTGCAAGGATGTGTACACAATTCCTGGAAGATGAAAACATCCCAGTTCTTGTATGGCCAGCATACTCACCGGACATGTCACCCATTGAGCATGTTTAGGATGCTCTAAATCAGCGTATACGACAGAGAGTTCCAAGTCCTTGCGATATCCAGCAACTTTGAACAGCAATTGAAGAGGAGTGGACCAACATTCCACAGGCCACAATCAACAACCTGATCAACTCTATGCGAAGGAGATGTGTTGCACTGCGTGAGGCAAATGGTGGTCACACCAGATACTGACTGGTTTTCAGACCACCACAGATACCCCCAATACAGGAAAACTGCACATTTCAGAATGATCTTTTGTTGTGGCCAGCCTTTGCAATAATCATGTTGTCTAATCAGCATCTTGATATGCCACACCTGTGAGGTGGATGGATTATCTCAGCAAAGGAGAAGTGCTCACTAACACATATTTAGACAGATTTGTGAACAATATTTGAGAGAAATAGGCCTTTTGTGTACATAGAAAAAGTCTTTGAGTTCAGCTCATGAAAAATGGGGGCAAAAACAAAAGTGTTGCATGTATAATTTTGTTCAGTGTATATATATATATATATATATAAACCCTCATTAACCACTTCCTTACTACATTTCCTCTTTACTTAACTAATACACCCCCTCTCATTCCCTTCGCTCATGAACAACCTATTCCTGTTATCTGCTTGTTCTTGCACTGCCAACTCTCATCTGCAAGAATTTTCAAGGGCTGCCCCTTTCCTATGGAATTCCCTACCCCATGCAATTAGACTCTCCACTAGTCTTCAGTCCAAGAAAACTCATCTCTCTAGGAAAACTTACCATCTTCCTGGATGACACTTCTATCATTTTGATTGCCCTCTCTTTTTCCCTCGCCTCCATAACCCAGCTCACTCTCTCTCTCTCCTTCCATTGTTCACTTGTTTCATACACCACTTTTGCTACCTTGTTTCAATGTTTCAATACAAGCATCTTATCCATGAGCTAACCACTAGCGTGCCCCTCCTCCCCCAGGAACATGCTACTATGTGTGTCTTTACCCTTCCTTATAGATTGCAAGTTTGGTTGAGCAGGGACTTTTTCACCTCTTTCATTCCGAATTAAATTTCGTCAGAATTCAACTGAATTCTGCAATTCAAAACCATCCAAATTCTGAAAATGAACAAATTCAGAGTATCAAAACACATTTTTTCAGATTCATCCATTTTCATAAGCATAGAACATTAATTTTGCTCTTTCAATTGTTTAGTATATAAGTCCCTAATTGTGCACCTTTAATTATGGCAATCACATGTAAGGATACCAAATTTGGACGCTTTCTACTAAACAACTGAAAGAGCAAAATTTATTTTATATTCTTATGAAAATGGAAGGCTCTAAAATAATTTGTTTTATAACTTTTGAATTCTTTCAGAAAAGAGCTTTTCTTAATATTGATCTTCCAGCTATTTAGTAGATAGCTCCCTAATTATGCCCAAAATGCATATACCTACACTCATGCACATAAAAATGCACAAACATATACAGTTATTCAAAGTGGTTGGCTTCTACCTTTCTTGCTACCAGCCCACATAAATTCCCCTTTCTTCTCAGGGGTAGCTTTTACTCACAGATATGCTAATGATAATTGCTCAATAATTGTGCATTAAGGAAATACTTATGTTGATATCCTTATACAGTATTATATTACTTGCAAGTTTAGCTGCTTTCTATAATTATCTGTAATAAAGCACTTTGAATCGAAAATGCAGTACGTTATTATTATTATTAGTGCATATCAAAGGACTTGACTATTTACCTGATTTTAAATGCCTTGTTTTTCTAATGTCTAAAGTAGTGATTTTTCTAAAAATTACTTTCATTAGAGAAATTTTTGAAAGTCTAAGTCGCTCCTGGAAAATGTAAGAAAAAGTTAAAATGCTTTTTTTCTTAGCTAAATGGCTTTGAATCCTCAATTAGAAAAGTGGTTAAGCCCTTGGACTCTGTGGTAGTTGATAATGATATGAGGTCCTCAAGACACTCAGTGTTGTGGATAGCATAATTGTACATAATTGCATGCATATTTAGATAATTATATGCATGAAGCCAGCATAATTAACTTGTTTCAAATGCTCAGGAAACTATTTGACTTTGGTTTATGAAGCTCAAACAAAGAAAATCTGCTTTTTAAAATATTTTATAATATATTGAAAAAGTAACGGTACCACTTAATTTATGCCATGGGCTCCAGTGAAAAGGAGTCTAACATGAAACACTCATGTTATATGCAAACTTATTTCACACATATGCAGCCACTTTGGGAATGTGCATTTCCAAACAAAGCTGCAGATTTGTTAAAAAGAAAACTCTAATTGAAATTGTAATGGCAAATGTTTAGCTAAAATTGGCAGGTTGAGTTGGAGATTTTTGCCATTTGGATTTGGGTTCACAGCTTGGAGTTTAGAGAATAAATCCCAGAGATTTGAAAAACTTAAATATAAAGCAATTATTGGGTAACTATATCTATAACTACTGTGAGTTCTATATCTGACACAAAGGCAGCAGAAAATATAAATAGAAAATGCCACAATATGGTGTGTACATTAATATACGTATACTATTTCCTATATGTAGATGTATATGTAAAAAATGTGCACTTCCATGTATTTGATAAACATATAATATATAGATTTAGATTTTTTTTTACCACTACTCTTCTTTTTCCCTCTGTTGGGTTCTTCTTTAAACTTGATCTATGAACTAAAGGGCAAGCTCAGGCACCTATCAGTGTACTGCAAAATATATATGTAATCATTATACTTTACAGTGCACTGACTTGCCAATTTTTTGGTTGTTTTAATATTTTTTTCTAAAATGATTGCATGGATAAAATTCAACATAATTGAAACACATATAAGCAAATTTCAGACTACCTGAACAATTATTTTTTTCAGACAAATTGATTTGGACCTCCTTATTTTTCCGCCATGCACATGTCTATCTACCAATATAATTGAAATGTGGCTTTTTAAAATGTGGATAAAATCCCATACAGCTAATGTACAGAACATGCAATGTATTACTTTTAATTATTTTTACTTCTATTTATTAGCAGCTTAATGTTTGTCAGTAACAATATATCAGTATTTGTCAGTAGAATTCTATTTCTGTTTATGATTATCAAACATGTTTCAACATTGTAAGCTACTATTTGTGACACAGAATCAGTTTAGAAGCTAATGCAAACTGATGTATAGAAAGTGAAGTTCTAGTTTCTTTTGTAAAAGGTTCGTTGATTGCCTTTCGTTTTTTAACATCAAGGTAAGTTAAAAAAACAGCAATGCATTATAATAACGATATATAAATATTATTTGGTGAAAAATAATAGTTTGCAGTCTATCAACTATTTTTATTTTCATTTAAAGAGGCTACCAGTAATTTATAATTAGTTTCTTATGCAAGTTTTCTACATGTATACAATTGTTTCTACTCATTGCAGTATACCTAGGTGTTTATTTTCTTATTGGAAATCATAGCAATCAGGGTGAAGGTTATTAAAATGTAATATTTAAGTGAGCCAGTTACTTCTTCTTTTGTATTTGGTAAGACGAACGTAAGCACAGTTATTGGACATGGGTTCATTCTGACCAAAATGATGAGAGAAAGAATTTAATTTAAAGTGTGAATGCTTCATTACTACTTCGGCACTAAACACACAAGTACAAAAACATGAGAGAAGTTAAAAATAATTCTGATAATTTAAATGGATGGGATTTAGATTAGGTAATTTGAACAGATTGTAGAGCTATATTACTTGCAAGAAAGTGGCCTACTGATAATATGTTATTATGAGGTGATTTTGTGCCAATATTTTATTCATGTTGATTGTGTTTTGCTGCTTTTTGGAGTATTTAAAGGGACACTCTAGGCACCCAGACCATTCAGCTCATTGAAGTGGTCTGGGTGCTGTGTCCCTTTTGCACCTAGTGATGCAATGTAAAACATTGCAGTTCCAGAGAATTGCAATGTTTACATTGCAGCACTAAGTCTGTGCTTAGTGGCTGTCTACCACACAGCCACCGGGGGCGCTTCCGGAATCCAAATAGACTTTTGGTCCTTTATCTGATGCTGGAGGTCCTCACGCTCTGCATGAGGACCTCCAGCATTAGATTTTCCCCATAGGAAAGCATTGATTCAAAGCTTTTCTATGGGATGGTCTAATGTATGTGCGGGGGACTTCCTGCGCATGCGCATTAGACTCCGCTCGTTGCTGGCTGGAGGAGGATGCGGAGCTAGGACCCAGTGCCGAGGGACATCGACGCTGGGATAAGGTAACTAAATAAATGGTGTTTAACCCTTTATTTACTGGGGTGGGAGGGGGGGGCGTGAGGGAGGGAGGAGGCAGAGGCATCGGTAGTTACAGAAATACAGATTTGTATTCCTGGCACTACAGTATCCCTTTAAGAAATAATTGGGTTAAATTTTAAAGGGACTATATGGGTACCAGAACAACTACAGCTTATTGCATTTGTTCTGGTGAGTAGAATCATTCCCTTTAGGCTTTTTTGCTGTAAACAATGTATTTTCAGAGAAAATGCAGTGTTTACATTACAGCCTAGTGATATCTCCACTCGCTACTCCTCAGGTGGCTGCTAGAGGTGCTTCCTGGGGCAGTGCTTCCTAGTGTGCAGCACTGCCATTCAGTGTCTCCACCCTCTGCATGCAGACACTGAACTTCCCTCATAGAGATGCATTGATTCAATGCATCTCTATCAGGAGATGCTGATTGGTCAGGATTGTATTTGACTTGTGCTGGCTCTGCCCCTGCTTTCTTGAAAGTCTCAGCCAATCATATGGGGAGGCATTGTGATTGAC